CTCTCTCTCTCTCTCTCTCTCTCTCGTTCGCTCTCACTGTAAATGCTGCAGGGCTCCAAGCTGTTTTTGGACTTCTTCAGCCATACTCACTCCCTAGCTTGTGTCAATCTCATGGCATTAAATACTATCTATTTACATCCCTGGTGGCATAGTGGTTAAGAGCTACAGCTACTAACCAAAAGGTTGGCGGTTCGAATCCACCAGGCACTCCCTGGAACCTCTATGGGGCAGTTCCGAGTCAGAATCAACTCAACAGCAACTGGTTTTTTTGGAATTTATATCTCAGCCCAGGCCTCTGACCTGAACTACAGGCTCACGTATACCCAGTTACCTATACAATATCTCTACTTAGATTTCTAACAGCCATCTCAAACTTAACATGCCAAAATCGAACTCATTATTTCCCTCTAACACCTGCTTCTCTGTAGACTTTCCCATCTCAGTAAACAGTAACTTCATACTTCCAGTTGTTCAGCAAAAACCACAGCCCACATCTAACCCATGATCGAATTCTGTAGGCTCTGCCTTCAAAATGTACACAGAATATGAGTACTTCTCACCACCTTCACTGCTGCCATCCCAGCCTAAATTCACCATCATCTCCCACTGGATAACTGCTATAACCTGCTAAATGATCTTCTTGCCGTCATTACCGCACTCCGGTCACTCTCTATATGGCAGGTGAAAGGTCTATTTAAAATAAGTCAAAACCCTCCAATGCAATGCTGCAGACTTCAACCAGCTTCAGTACCAGACGAACAGAAAGCCACAGGTTGGACATGGTGGGAGGAAGTGATCTTCATAAATCGTTTGCATACATGTCTAGGGATCTTAAAGAATGGAGCCTCTAGGTGGTCTGCAGGCTTTTCTATTAATCATGTTTAGGAGATGACCACAGCTATATTTCTATTCTGGTGTTATCTGACGATTTGTTATACTATTTTAAATAACAAAAACTAGCCATTGCCCAAAAGTTGTGTGATAGGTAGTTACAACAACAAAAAAAACAAAAAAAGTGTAGCTGCTGAGGCTGCTCATGTACAATCAAAAACTTCATAGGATCTGACTTCTGGCTTTGGAGGTTTGGGGTCACGGTTTCCTGGGACATCCCAGTTAATTACCCAAATAACATGTTTACTGCCTCTGTTCTACCCTCCTAGTTCAATGCGTAGTGCTTGGGGTCTTAAAAGCTTGCAAGCAGCCATCCAAGGCACGACAATTGTTCTCCTTTTGCCTGGAACAACAGAGGAAGGAGAGTCAAGAATAGGCAGAGGATATGGAATGTGTGGCTAATGGCCTCCATGAACAACTGCCTCCTTTATGTATTTATTTTTGTTTATTTTAACTGAGGAGAAATTTATGTAACAAAATTAACCATTTTAAAGTTTACAATTCAGAGGCATTTAGTGCAGCAACTGCCTCCTTTGCCATGAGACCAGAAGAACTGGATGGTTCCCAGCTACCATTACTGAACATTTGATCAAAGATTCCACAGTACCCTGATCAAACGGGTAAATGCAGAATATAATTTCATATTCTCCTGGACTCCAGACTTCCTGGAGCCATGAAGGTTGGATGACCCGCTGAAATTATTATCCTGAGATAATCTTCAAACATTAAACTAAAAATATCTCCTGAAGTCTTCTTAAAACCAAATAACAGATTCACTTAACTAGTAAAAAAAAGTCTGCCTTACGAGGGGACAGGAAAGCTGTTGATAGGGAACCCAAGCTTGAGAAAGGACAGTGTTGACATGTCATGGAGTTGTTAACCATTGTCATAGGGCAATATGTGTACTGACTGTTTAATGATAAACCATTTTCTCTGTAAATCTTCATCTAAAGTACAAAAAAAAAAAAGAATTACCTATGTGAGATCAAATTGACAACAGCAACTCAAAAGGTTTGATGGGAAGCCTAGGGGACAGTGAGTTGAAGACAATGGTGATGGAGTAACCTGGAAAAGGATAGTGAGAATAGCAGCACAACTGGAAGAATGTGATCGATGTCACTGAATTGTACATGTAGAAATTTTTGAAATGGTGTATCTTTGGCTATGTATATTTTTACCAAAAAAAAAAAAAAGAAAAGGTCCTCCAAGATTGAGAAGGGAGAGTGTTGACATGTCATGGGGTTGTTAACCAATGTCATAAAACAATACGTGTACTGACTGTTCAATGAGAAACTATTCATTCTGTAAACCTTCATATAAAGAATAAAAAAAAATTTTTTTTAAATGTCTGCCTTAAGCATTATGCTCTTTTAAGAACTATCTATATGGCATCAAATCGACAGCAGCAACTTGAAAGATTAGATGGGAGCCTTAGGGGGCAGTGAATTTATGTTAATGGCGGAGGAACAACTCAGGAAAGGAAGTTAAGAATCGTTTCACAACTCAAAGTGTAATCAATGTCACTAAACAGTACATGTAGAAACTGTTGAATTGGTGTTAGGCTTTGCTGTGTATATTCTCAGCAACAAAATAAATAAAATTATATTAAAAAAAAAAAAACTGGCCATTGCCTTAAAAAAAATCCCTCCAGTGCCTTCCCACCTTCAGAATAAAAGCCTAAGAACTTATAATTGCCTACAAAGTAATATCATCTCACCCCCACCCCCAACCAGCCTCTCTAAGCTCATCGTCTGTCACTCATTCTCCTCAATGCCTCCTCTGACCTACCTGCCACTCCTTGAACAGAGCAAACACACTTTAGCCACAGGACCTTTGCATTCATTGCTCCATCTTCCTCAAACGCTCTCTCTCCCCCAATATCTGCACAGATCACACTATTCCTTCTTCCAGACCTCTACTCAAATACCATTTATCACTGAGGACTTCCATAGCCACCTTATATAAATCAGCAATATGCCCCTCATATAACCATGCTCTTTCCCTCCTTATTCTAGTTTTCTCTACAGCACTATAATAACATAAACCAAAAAGAAACATTGCCATCGAGTCGATTCCAACTCATAATGACCCTACAGGACAGAGTAGAACTGCCCCATAGGTTTTCCAAGGAATGGTTGGTAGATTTGAACTGCCAATCTTTTGGTTGGCAGCCTGAGCTCTTAACCACTATACCGCCAGGGCTGACATAAAAAAACCAAACCTGTTGCCGTCAAGTTGATTCTATCTCATAGAGACCCAAAGGAGCAGCTGGTGGATTTGAACTGCTGACCTTTTGGCTAGCAGCCAAACACTTAACCACTGCACCACCAGGGCTCCACCAGGGCTGACACATTACACATTAATTTGTGTGTTTACTTTCTGTCTCTTGTTATTGGAATGTAAGCGCTTCGAGGGCATAAAATTTGTTTTTTCCACTGCACGACCTAGCAAGTGCTCAGAGGGTACTCTTGACTGGATGAATGCATGAATGAGGAAAATCGAGTCTCAGGATCTGGTTTCAAAGCCAGGATTGAGGGAATTTACAGTACAGAACGCTTCAGGGCCTAGAAAAATGTAGACATCAACAGCAACCACCATAACGGCCAAGTCTACAATTTTAGTTGGTACCAAAAATAAGTAAGAGTGTTTATTTGAGATGCTATGCCAAAATGAGGAAAATACACTTCAGAAAAGTTTAAAAAATAAAAGAAGGGGAAAAAAAAAGATAGCTATCCCCAACTCCCCACCCCCTGAAAAAAATACCACTAGGATAGATTTCCTGTAGGCTAGCCTACCAATTCTGACCAAAATATTACCAGGCCCACTCTAAGCACTTAAATAGCTGTTACGAGTATTCCTGCTTTTCTATGCTACGGTCTTCAGAGTAGTTTGTGACTCTAAACCTAACACGGGCCGCCAAGAAATAATGTTCAGCGAAACCTCTCAAAGCACTCAGGCTGCAACCAAATATCATTAGTATGATGACAGCAACAATTCAAAGTACCTTCTACCATCTGCCTCTCTCCATTGTCCCCAGCGTATTCTCGGTTTCAGTTATCAGAGATTTTGTTATGTTGGGGTTGGGGATGGATGAGACACAGAAGAATTCAAAGAAATAGAACTGGAATTTATTTTTTTGCACTTTAAAAGTGAGGGAGACTGTGAGGGAATAGAAACCATCTGCTAGGGTATGAGGTGTCACCTGGGCTTTTCAATACCAGACAGTAAAACAGAGACTCACGGAAGGATCCAAACCCTGAGACAGCCAAGTGTTCCTCAGATAAAGAATTGAGAATTGTGCCTTGTATCTCCATTCCCACACAGAGAACTGAAGATATGGAGCAGAGACCATGCCAAAGTGAACAGCAGGGAGCAGTGATGGGGATGGGGGGGAGTAACAACTGTGGAAAGGAAGGGAAGGGAGGAGTAATTATACAAACTTTTTCTCTTTTCCCCTTTTCCATTGTACTTACCAAGTAAAGAAACTGGGCAAGAGAAGGCAGAAAGTGGAAGGTAAGGACACTCTAAAGCAAATGGTAGAAGAAATCAACCATAAATTCCTTTCCAACTGACGCTCTGAAAAATGGACATATGAAGTAAGTTATAAACGGATTAAGGAAATTTAAAACAAACTTCCATACTATGCATAACTACAGAAATGTATAAAGAAAACAGAAGTTCTTAATTATTTACAACGATGGCTCTTGGGCATTTTTAAGATCAACAATCCTCAAATATGACCGACTATATCCAGCCTAACTCTACTGATCAACATGGAAAAGTAAACAAGTGAAAAACTTCAGATTTCGCAGACTCAGCCTTTAAGAATCAGCTGGCTTCCCAATGGCTCCAAATCTCAAAATAACAATCAGAGGCCTTTAAAGACAGGGAAGTATAACTCTGGGGCATTCAAAAGCAATTAACTCAGCATAAGCTGAAAACACAGAGACTACACCAAATATACTATACATATCAATTCACTCAAAAAGAAAGCAGTGTTCTGACTGGATGATCTCAATAAGCTGAGTCATGCCCCCAGCATCAGCACCTGTGGCAAGCAGAGGTTAGAAGCCAAGAGACAGGAAGTCACAGGCTACTCTGAGAAAGGTATTGGGGGCAGGGGGAGTCAGCAGCAAAAAAAGACAACTTAGCACTATACAACCACTGACCATTGGCACATCACATTAGCACACACCAGCCACAAATGTTTGTAGCCAGAGATGGCATTCTACACATCTACTTCTGTGCTAATATTTCCCTCTCCTTAACACCCCTCCCCGACGTCTGGCTTCCTCACTGATGGTTCTCCTCCTCCTCCCTGACAGCTGTCACCTTCTAGAGCTCCTCCTCCTCCTCTACCCACTCTTTGATTTTGGTATTGTTCAGCTGCTTGCCCTCTTCCTGCATCAACTCATCCATGCTTTCTACTTGGTCCCTGTCCTTGACAAGCCTCAGTCCAGCAGGGGAGGTGGATATGTCACTGGATTACTCCATGAGAGTCACTGCTATGAAAGTACTGTACAACACAGCGCTGTGAACACATATTCATCTGTCACCACCATCTACTGATGATGTGCTGTGTTCTCCACAGCCACACTCCACCTTCCCACTCTTGTGTAAGATACTGTCCTGGAACTTTCCATGATATCCCCTATCTCCACGCCACCTTACCGTCCAAGCCTTCGTTTCTCATATAACTATTTCAAACACTTCCTATCAGAAACATAATCCAATATGTTTTCCACATTGCCACCACAGCCATCTCCCTAAAAGATATAAGATACCATAGCCTTCCCTTGCTTTGAAACATCTAGTATCTTTCCAAAGCCTAAGAGATAAAAGTCCAAACTCCTTGCACAGCAAATAAGGTAATATAATACCCTTTTTAAAAAGCTCCTTTTAAATACACCAAATGAGCCCTCAGCTAGACTAGGAGGCAGAACAGAGGGCAGCTAAAAGCAGGCTGACTGCCTAAGTTCCACTTCCAACCCTTACCAGCTATGATCTTTTGCAGGTCACTTTACCCCCCTAAATTTTCTCATCTAAAACGAGGAAACTTAAGAGCCTACGTCATATGGTTGTTGTGAGGATTAAATAAGAAAGAAATTACATGCAAAGTACCACCACAGTAGGCAGCACTCAATCAATGTTAACTATTATCCTGGGCTAGCTCATCTACCTACATGCCTCATTCCCCAACGGGAGTAGATAACCAAGGTTTTACTATCATATATCTTAGAATGATTAACAAGAAGAATTAAATTAGAGAAAATCTACTCGGTAATCCTGAGCTAACAAAAATTTCAATTAACCAAAATTCTGGTCTGATGAAAATCTGGTTTGTCTAAGTTTTAACATAATTTATTTTTTAAAAAGTATCTACTTATAAAAAAATTACTAGATTACTTTTTCTCCCCTATTGAAGTTCAGGAAGAAAAAAGGCAACAGTTTACCAATGGTTTTCTACAGAAATAAAGAATCCACGTAAATTAAACACAGTTTCAATATTATATAATTTTCTAAAGACATAGATAATACAACAAAATAAACTCTAGAAGCTTAAAAAAAGTATGCATCACGTATCAGAGAGACATTCATATTCAGGCCTTACTATCAAAAGACAAAATCACGAATTCTTTTAAAAAATTAGTGATTTTAATAATATTTAAAACTACAAAGCCTACAACACTAACAAAAATAAAGTAGATCAGAAACATTTCAAAGGATTACTATATTAATGGTGTTAAGTGCTAACGAAAATCGCTGAGAGTCTAGTAAATTTATGGGCAAAAGACAAATAATTCATACAAAAGAGAAAATAAAAGTAGAAAAACACTACATTTGCTTTTCTATGGTGCATAGTGATTTAGAAATAGGTATCCGTATGTCCACTTTGAAAAACAAACTTAAAAATAAAAGCCTGTAAAAGAATAAAGCTGGTCATCCAAACTCTGCTGGAGGCAATGTAAATCAATACAGTCTTTCAGAAATAAATCTGGCAATTTTTTTCAAAAGTGACAAAAATCTTCATACACTCTGAACCTTATAAATCCCTCTCTTGGGACTTTATCCTAAAGGAAAGATGCAAAACGAAGAACAGCTATATACTAACTGCATTACTTGAAAAATGGGAAGCAACCTGGATGTTCAGTTATAAATAAGTAACTCAACTTAGTGTAATACTGTATAATAATTTAAAGGTATGAAAACTATAGCAAAAAGAAAACACATTAAATATAAAAGCATGTTTTAAAATTATATTTGTTTTGATTAAATTAAAATAATTAAATATTATAAAATCATGTATATATGATAAAAAAAGAAATGAGAGAAAATTTTTAAGTTGATTTTTATTTTTTCTTATTTCTTTGGCCATTATGCTGTTTGTAAAATAAAAAGCTGGTTGGAAGTGACCAGACCCACCACACTAAGTGCACATTTCAAAATTGACTTTCAGAGGTCTGAAATCACAATCAATTTTTTCCCCAAAAAAATGGATGGCGTAAGAGTAATCAGATAGGCTATTCTCACATACAGGATAGCCATACATGTAATTTTAGCCATGCTATTAGCCAGCTGTAACCTTATTAAAATCTCATTTTACCATCAAATTGTATCTAACTGTATGTAGGCTCTCCATATGGTAAGCATAAGCCATTTGTTATGGGACATCTGGATAGAGGGCCCCAGCACTGAGGTTAAAAAGAATCAGGCCAAATGCAATGGAGACGGTTGGGTTTCTCCCATATCTTTAAATGAATTACCATGTATCTCAGCCACTCAAGGACGCTAAGCCCCTAGGAGTAGCAGCTAAGGATTTATGGAGCAAGAAAGTGCAAGTGGATTTGCTCTCCCTCTGAAAATAGGCCAATTCCTCACTTTCCCCCAAAGCATCCTTGAGTCCGTAAGTATAAGGTCAGGGGAGACGGGATACAGCTGGCCCTAAGAAACTTAAGCAAGTTACTTCCCCTTTCAGGTTTTAGTTTTTTAATGGGAAAAATTTTAAAATTGAACTAAACAATCTGTTAATTCAAGTTCCACATTCCCAAGCCTACGAACCCTTCTCCCAGACTGCAAAACAATCATTAAGAGTTAAGAATTAGGAAACTGGGTGGGGGCAAGGCTGAATACACAGATGATCAAAAAATCTAAACTGTAATCCTAGCTCTGTCATTTTCTACCTGTGTCACCTTAGGAAAATTACTTCTACTCAAGATAAAGTTTAGGATCAATGAAGCAGCAGTCATTACTGGCCATTCCTTTTATTCTTGAGTCCTAAAATGGATTGTTTTTTTCCCATCATAACTGCGGTTTCATTCCTAACCAGCAATAACAATTCTGACTTTGTTCTGGAAAATTTAAAAGTACCTTGAGATTCATTCTAAGTTTTCTGATAAAAAGGCAGTCGGAAGCATTTTTGCTGACCTTAACACCATATTCACAATTGAAACCATTTTCACAAAGTTCATGTTCTGCATTCTAGAGAGGTGAGTAGCATCTAGGGTCTTAAAAACTTGCAAGCAGCAATCTAAAATACAACTATTGGTCTCTACTTGTCTGGAGCAAAAGAAAAAGAAGGAAACCAAAGTCTCAGAGAAGAAACTAGTCTACAGGGCTAACAGCCTACAGGGGCCTCGGCCATATCTACCCTGAGGGCAGAAGAACTAGATGGTGCCCTGCTACCACTACTCACCGTTCTATAGATAAACCCTGATACAACGGGAGGAAAACGCGGAACAGATCTCAAATTCTTAAAAAGTCCAGGCTTACTGGACCAGTTGAGACTAGAGAACTCCCTGAGACTATCACCCTGAGATTCTCTTTAAACCCTGAACCAAAACTATCCCAAGGTCACCTTTTAGCGAAATTAACAGATTGGCACACAAAATAAAGGATATTACCAATGAGTACAGTGCTCCATTAAAAAACCATTGACGAGACCCAAAGGTCAACAACTACTTTAAAGCAAACACAAGAAGATAAGGGGGCAGGGAAACTAGAGCACTGAAAACGGAACCAGAACACAAAGAGAATGTTGACACATAGTAAAAAATGTAATGTCACTGAAAAATTTGTATAGAAATTGTCAAATGGGAACCTAATTTGCTTTGTAAACTTTCACTGAAAAGACAGTAAAATATAATTTTTAAAAAAGAGCTTTTACAAAACAAAACAAAAAAAGATTGAAACCATTCTCATTCTTTAAAAAGTAATTCATTTAATAAATACTTTATCAGCACCTGTGCCACACAACAGTGTGTGCTACAGTTGCAAAGTTCCCTTCTTTCCCCAAAATCTGGTGGAGGAAATGAATATATAAATCATTAACTACCAACTGACAAATAGTTAACTGTGGAACATACAATGTACTATTGGATGTAGTACAGAAAGCCAACTATCTATCAGTCAAGACAAGTGGGATGAAATGTCTGGACAGATCAGAGGTGACAGTTCACTTAGGTCTTGAAAAGCAAGCTATCAACCAGGTAAAGGAGAAAAAAAGAATTCTCAACAGAGGGAACAGAGTTAAACCACAAAAGAAGAGGTCTTCAGAGAACTGCCAAGTAGTCTCGTATGCAGAGAGCAGAAATAATGGTAGAAAATAAAACTGGAATGCAAGCATGTACCAGAAATGATGAAGGACTTTGAGTTACATCAACATAGCCTATGGAGAGTCACCGGAGGACTTTTAAACATGGAATCAAAGTCTCCCCTCTTCTACCATACAATCAAAGGAGTTAAATCAAGGTAACAAACAAAATGCAGGTCTGGATTTCAAAAGGTAGAATAGTGGTTTAAAAAAGGGGGGACTTCCTGCTCCCGGGATGACTTCTAACAGCTTCTTACTATGGCATATTAATACAACATTGAACTACGACAATATGGATAGCTAGGGTTCAAGGAAGTGTATGTTTTTATCCAAAGATTAAAGTCAATGTTGTTGAGAACACTAAAGAAAACAACACAATAAGTAGAAACAAACAGTAATAAAGTCTAAGAACAAGAAGGCTGACTTCAGGCCAGACATTCAGGAACGTTTGCATCCTTATCACATATTGATTACAAATGACAAGACACGTTTTGTACCTATCTTTTGCAAAGGAGAGTATCTTAAGATTGAAGAAGCGCTGCCACCACTAAATCTCTTTAAACCAATCTAAAAAATGATGCTACCAAAAAAAAACCTGGCAAAATTAATAGGTTCCATCAATATTTTAATGCTCGGGAAAAAAAAGAGAAAGGGAATGCCTTTAAAATAGCTATTTTTAAAAGGTTAACAACCCAGTTTATCTCACCCACAGGAATGAAACACTGAGATTCCAATCTGGGACCACCAAGAGTCCAGGTATCAGTAATTTCCAGACTGTTCAGGGCTAATCTAGGTACAGCAAGCTTAATTGGCTGGGTAGTCTACAAAGATGAATTTGCAATTATTGAAATTCAAGCTCAAGCTTAGCCACCGAGGAATAGCTTTTCAACGGAGTCATTCCTCCTTTCCTAATGACAAGAAAGTAGGTGCATAAAAAACGCTCGTAGAAAAATAGCAGGTGTCTAAAAAAGAGAGCGAGAAAAGCATCTGTACCTATGGCAACAACGTGGTCCACCAAACTTTTATCTCGGGATGTGTTTAGGGTGTGTCTTTGTTTGGGCCTAGTAATTAACAACAACAAAAGCCACTGCTTGGGGCACCCCGGGACTTTCCTCCATCAAGCCTCACAAGCATCCTGGCTCCGAAATCCCGGGGCCTCGCGGCCTCGCCTTGTTTTCTCCTCAGAGAAAGGCGCTGCCCCGCAGCCCCGGCGCGTCTGTCACGGCCCAGGGGGCTGGGAGCGTCCGGCCTCCGAGGTCCGGCCGATTCTGCCCAGGGCAGCTCGCTTGCCCCAAAGGGGTCGCCCCGGAGGGCGCAGGACTCGGCCGACGCCTCCCCGGGGACCTGGCCTCCTCGCCGCCCGGCCGCGCCCCCCGCCCGTACAGTCGTGGGCGCCCGCCTGACTCCGCCCCGACCCCGGCCCGGCTCTCACCGCGCAGAGGTCGCGCTGCCTCCTCGGCTGTGGCCCAACTACGGGCCCCAGCGGCCTGCGGGCCCGAGGATGGAAGGGCGAAAGGTGCGGCGAAGGACCGCCTGTCACATGCCGGCTGCCCGACTCGCAGCTGCCCGCAACGCACCAGCGGCCTGAGGAAGCACCGGACCACGACACCGCGCACCCCCTCATATGCGCCCGCCCGGGCTCCGCCCTCGGGCCGCGCATTGCGCGCGCGCGTAGCCCCGCCCCTCCGCTGGCGCGCAGGCGCAGGCCCCAGAGGCCCAGGCCCCGCCCGCCGCCCAGCGCCGGCCTCAGCCCACCGCTGGCCATGCCACCGGCCGGTCGCCTGCTTTTCCAGGCTCCGCCTCCACCTCGGACGCGCCCCTCCACTGACCTTGCCTCCCTGCCCCCTGACTCAGGTCTGCTCTTGGCCTAGGACGCCATCCCGCGTCTGACCCCACGCCCCGCCGGCCTCCGGGGCTAGCATTTGCTAGTTGACGGCGGTCAAACCTGTCAGTTCCACCTTCAGATCCGAAAAGTTAGGAGTGGTCTGAGCATCAGGATGAGATGAGCCCCCCAACATTTCGCGATCTAAACATCCCCAGCATTTTGTGTTTCAAGTCCATCCCTGCCCTCCCGTGCTCCAGAGCATGCGGAGCCCCCTACCAGGCCTGTCACAGCCAGGCGTAGGATCTTGCCGAGATCCAGGGGAAGGGGCACCGAAACGCTGGGATTTGGAGCGACTCCAGAGCGCCATCAACCTGGAGGCCAAGAACCAGGTCCTTCTTCTCTTCGGCACTTCCATCCCCCACTGGCATGCTCGGAGGCTTCGTTCTTCCCCGATTGCCAGGCCTGGCGTTGAGTGCCCTCACCGATCCAGCCGACTGTTAAAGCCCTGCAGCTGTTCTTATCTGTGGTAGACTAGCTGCTCTCCGAAATCCTCACCCTCCACTTTAATCAACATTTTTGTCTCCCCCTGAGGGAACGAATGGGGGGCTATCGGACTGGAGCGAGGAGGCAGGTATAATTTGTAAAGCTACATTTTATTTAGTAATATACTTTTATATATGGAAAATAAAGTGTCATTTTTTTATATCAACCACTAAAAATAAAGATTGAGTTTCTGGGATAATAAGGTGAACGTTTAAAGTGTTTAGAAAGACTAGGTCTAAAGACTATACTTTATCTTTGGATTAAGTCAAGTAATTAGACAAGCAAACTCCAAACTGAACTCTTGAACACAGAGATGGATTTACTAAATGTGCTTTGGGGTCTATGCCATCAGCAAAATCGAGAGATGGTACAAGCAATGGCCCCTACCACTTGTCTTTGGGGGTTGGGGAAGATACTGCACAGTTAACAGTCTTCATATGAGCATCTGGGAAAGGAAAGGAAGACCGCTCCGTTCCCCAAACTGCTAGGTTTTATCTTGTGATTCACTGAACACTTGAGGTGATTGTGTGTTCTCACATTTTGGCAGCTGGGAAGTACTAAGTCATCCTTCCCTTTCTCCTCTACAAAATGTAACAGCTTACTGGGTCCTTGTTGTGTATGGATATTTACCAGCTTCATCTAATTTTCCCTATTCCTCTTTCTTTCTTTAATTTCCTCATTTCCCTGGTCGATGTCATGTCGCATTGATTCTATTTCTATAAAACTGCAAACCAAACCCATTACTGTGGAAACAATTCCAACTCATTGCAACCCCATAGGACACAGTAGAACTGCTCATCAGGTTTCCAAGGCTGTAAATCTTTACGGAAGCAGACAGCCACATTTTTTTTCCCACAGAGCGGCTGGTGGGTTCAAACTGCTGCCCTTTTGGTTAGCAGCCAAGTGTTTAACCACTGCGCCACCAGGGCTCCTCTTATTTCTATAAGTCACCTAAAATTACATTTAGAAAAAAATATGTATGCATATATGTATTCACAAATCTATCAGCTTGTCGTACTGTGGTAGCTTTAGTGTTGCTATTATGCTGGAAGCTATGCCACCTGTGTTTCAAACGTGAGCAGTCATCCATGGTGAACGGGTTTCAGCAGAGCTTCCAGACTAAGATGGACTAGGAAGAAAGGTTTGGTGATCTACTTCTGAAAATTAGCCAGTGAAAATCCTATGTACCACAGTAGAATATTGTCCGATTCACTTGCTTTGGACATGTCATCAGGAAGGATCAATCACTAGAGGACGACATGAAGTATAGGGCCTATGAGGGTGAGGAAGATGGATTGGTACAGTAGCTGTGATGATGAACTCAAACATGCCATCAATCTTGAGGATAATGCAGGACTAGGCAACGTTTTGTTCTGTTGGATACAGGGTCTCCATGAGCTAGAGTCAACTCAAAGGCAGCTATCGATTGATCTGTATATGTATATGTACATATGCTTGTATATGTATATACATTGTCTGTGTTCCCCTAGAAATCTGCCTTCTGAGGGTCTGAGCCTGCTAAAGACTGAGGTTAGGATGACAGGGAAGACCAAGCCAAGCAGTGGTTCTTAAATTTTGGCATGCATCAGAATCACTGGGAAGGCTTGTTAAAACACAGATTGCTGGGCACCGTCCCCAGTATCTGATATGATATGTCTGGGTAGGGCCCAAGAGTTTGCATTTCTAGTAAATTCCCAGGGGATACCATTGCCCTAAGGACCACACTTTGAGAAGCACTGCACAAGAGTGCCTCCTTAACAACTGATGCTACCAGCATCCCGACCAGGTAGAAGGGACCGTCCCTTGAGATGACAGTCTCCCAGGAACCTGTGAAGGATTGACGAGAGACAAAGGTCTAAGTGTCATGCACTATCATGTAAACAAAAATCATAACTGTGACTACTTTCAGTACAGACTAAGCAGGGGAGATTGACAACTAAGAAAGCCAGGGCATGACCCAGCCCCTTGAGCTGGGGGAGTATGAAGGAAGAGGAAGAGTCAGACGCAGATGGCAAAAATGCTTTAGTGGGAATGTCCATGGTTTGACTGAGCCT